CTTGAACTTTGGTAGATTTTAATTTTCTCTCTTAAAATTATGAATACACTAAACTTTCAGATAATAACTTAAGATCTTATTTGACACATCCCGACCGAAATCAAAGCGTTTTGGGCATCACGTGAGGGTGACGTACCCATGTGCACAGTGCGGAAGCAATAATAATATAAGAAATGCGAATAAATAAAAATCAAACTAACTATATAAGATAAGGTGCGAGACGAAATAAGTATGAATTCACAACAGAGCATAAGTAGCCTAAGTGCAGTCCAGCAAGACGAATACTAATTATACAACACTCAAAATGACCATACAATTGTGGTAATCTATCACAGCTGTCGTGGATTCCTCGCAAGCCACCAAAAAGCACTCCTAACTAGAACTTGGAGGGGTGCAAAACAGAAAGCATGAGTGAGCAAAAGCAAAGCTTTTCAAAACCATTTCAATTACCAAAGATAGTAACCCTTCGTCGTAAAACCTATATAATTTCCCAAAAAATAGAATACATATCTATACATCACAACCATGCTCAGAATAGCAAAATCCACGAATATGCCATGTCAAATATCTTAGCATAAAAAAAAATACGCAAGCCAGGTGATATAAATTAATGAAAATGATATGTCAGCCGGAGTCACCTAACGTGACCTGTACGGCTCAAATCCACATCTCAACAAATATACCTGCACACGAGTCGGAGGCACCTGAAGTGATTTGTACGACATGACTGGGTGTAAATAAATACGCTCAAGTGCTACGATCACGTGAAGATTGTGCGAATAATTGTAGGTCACCTACGAGTCGGAACCACCTATAGTGGTCTGTACGACAGGAATGTGCACCAAACTTGGATCCAAGGTGAGCGTATGGTGCAGGAGGTGACATCACGTGAAGGACTATGCCCTAACTCTGGGCGGGAGCACTAACACCTGGGGTGCAGGTTTATGAGCTCTCAACATATCTCACATAATCATCAATTCACATAAACAATCTACAACTCACCTGGTACTTACCCGAGCGTCCACCGCATCAATTTACAATATGCAGATATCATACAAATTCATAGTCTTAAGCATAAATCAATATGCATGGCATTTCAAACATAATTTCATTTAAATCTATTTTTTGGGAAAAACTCAACTATATAGGTATATACGGAAAACCAAAAGCCCACTCACCGGTATATGGAAGGGTCGTAGCCCTCAAGCCTAATTGACTGTGCTCGTCCTGAGGATAGGTCTTACCTATATGCGAAATAACTGACGTCGTTAATCGCCGTTAGGAATATTCCGTTAAATTTGATGGAATATTCTCCTTTATTCTCCGGTGGATCGTCGGACTCCGCCGCCGGCCGCCGTCTGTGTCACCGGAAACACTTCCAAGCCTTGAAATCCACGGGGTCTTGCCAGAGAACCCTCGATAATCTGGCCAAACTTGAAACTTGCCAAACTCAACTTCCCGACATCCAAAACACTTCGTTTTTCTTCTCCGATCTTCGTGAAGACGTTATAAAGCTTCCTAGCGCTTAAAATCTCCTCAAAACTTCACATTTACAATTGCATGAACAGTGCTCAAATCAAAGATTATGGTTTCTCGAGAAAATGAAGGCTTCACAGTCCAGATAATAGTATAGATGAGTTCCTTGAGCTTGCAAGGAATATAAAAACATCCTCCTCGACGTCGATCCGTGAAGAAATGGAATGGTTTGGATGGTGTCCATACGACTTGTACGAAAATGGATGAAGTTCGAGAAAAGAAGAGAGAGAAAAGGTCAACGGGGAAAGGAATTGGTGTGTGTGTGTTATGCGGTCTAGTTTGCAACCAACCAAAAACAAGAAAACAAACCTAAGTCTAAGTTCCTAATTGGTTTCAAAATATTAGGGACTTAACATATTGGTCCACATCCAAAATTTAAACCATACAACGCCACAAACGTTCAAGGGTACTTTAGTAATTTCACACCATCGATACAAATATTTCAAGACGGGCTGTCACATTATTTGAATACCTTGAAATTATATAAAGTAAAATCCTTTAAGATCCTAATTGAATACACCCCTCTTTTTGGCGTCGGTGTTAAGATACTGCCACCCCATAATCATGGGTCGCTAAAAAAATTAAACATTGCTCCTAGTATGCAAATAAAAAATACAAAGAAAATAAAATACTTTTATTTTACATCACCAAAGCTTGTCTACACTTTTAGTGAAATTCGACTACTCTTCAATTGTCCAGTTCAACACATGTCAATAAAGCGTGAGCTCTTAGCTTAGTAGGACAAAAACCATAATGCATAGCATAAGCTATAGTGATGCATGAATGTAAGGTTTCCTCTTAATTTTGTTCTTAACCCAGTTAATAGCTAAATCTTTTCTCTTTTCATTAGTTATCTTGTCAAACTCTCAATCCTCAAATATGAAACCCGAATAGATCGTTCATTGGACTCTAACCGAAAGGACTTCACTCTCTTATTTCGTGCACCTCGGGTTGAACACAAATCTTGGTGCACCCGAAAGTGAATTCAACTACTTTTAGTTCCATACACTACCATAAATCACATATTTGCCTAATTTAAGACTCAAATAAATGACCATGAAATAATCATAGTTATTCGTTTCGATTGATACTTTCTTAACGATTCCACCATGCATGACATAATTATCACTTACGATAATTCTAAAACAGTTCCCCGAAAAATCCCCATCTAAATTCCAAAACTAAAACAAATATGCGCATTTGCTACCGCACTGGCAATGTTCCAAGAGTTTCACCGATGCTCTCCTCCTCTCTGTTACACTACAAAGGCTTGAAGTATATCTAATCTCATTGCATGCAATACACCTCTGCTTCTATTATTTTTTTAGGGTCCAAATACAACTCTGCTTTTAAGTTGATAAGTATTGCATGGAGCTTTCATTTGTCACAACCACAGAGTACCGAGAAAGCACCTACCTACGACGTCGCGGGTTTATACTTTCGTTATCTTATATGCGGACATGCGGACGCTGCACCACACAATTTTATTCTCTACGTGGTTTGCTGTGAGTGGCCACTCGTTTGTGGTTAAGAACAAATTGGGTCAAGAGTGGGCCCATTATTTTAAGAGGGGCGATTTAGGTCCTCTCTAACCGAATGGTTTAGAGGATCAGAAGGCCGAAAATAGCCCAAAAATCATCTTCAACCAAGGGACAGACGAAATGGCTTGTGGACCTCATTGGACAAAAAATGATTAAAGGGCCAACGAGCTGGCCCAAACCAACTAGCTAGCCCTTGGGGCGGGGCACATGCTAATGTCATGATGATATCATTTTTTTTTTGTGGCCAAAATTTTCTAAAAAATATTTAATTATGGGTTTAGATTTTTTGGGCCGAGAAAGGTGTTTTGGTCAAAGTTGGGGTGTTTATTTTATGGAGGAGGATTCTCTACTCTCATAATCTCTCTACCCTTCCACGCCCTCCTATTTGAACAGTCATGTTTAAGCCACGTTAAAATCCTATACTGATTTTTTTATAGAGATAATAAGACAAAAAACAATGTGTAAGAGGAGAGCATGGAAGGGCATGCGAATAGGAGGGTAGAGAATCCTCCTCCTTATTTTATAAGCATGTTTCCTTGCTCATTCATCTCCCACAACTAATGTGGGACAATTATAATGGGTGTAGTTGTTGTTGTAGTTCCTTTCATAAGCATGTTCCTTTCATAATTTATTTGAAATATTTAATTATCTTACATTTAATTTGTTGTAGTTGTAGTTTTAAAATTTAAGTTGTTGTAGTTTTTAAATTTAAATAATAAATTATGTTTGGTCCTATGACCCTCGGTTTGAGACGGTTTTTTGTGACAGGGCTAAAACAAGCCCTATGACCTCGGTTGAAGATGGTAAGAAATATGGCCTTGCACCGTTTATTAAAATATTAATTTATTGGAGGACCAGAGGGCTAAAACGAGCTCTCTAGCCAGCCTTTGATTGGAGATGGCCTTATGGGGGCTTGTTTGGTTAACCTATGGGATATTGAATAACCCAAAACACAATAGCCCCTGAAAACATATGTTGTGTACTCCATACAATACATTATGAGTTCGATTCTTGGCACATGAATCAAACGATGGTAGTCGAGGGGAGAATTAAAATGTCTCTGTGAGTCTTCTCGGCCTCCAAAAGAGTAGACTATCATGACGAAGGAGTAGGATTCTCTCCCCTCTTTTTGTCCTTCCTCTTCCCTCCCCTTCTATTTGAACGGTTATGGTTAAGCCACGTCAACATCTTAAATTAAATTTTTATAGAAAGAGAGAGACAAAATAGAGAATGTGAGAGAAAGGGATGGAAATATCAAAGAGTAGGGGAGAGAATCCTAATCCCATGACGAAGCCATCAACCAGTTTCCTTTTAAAAAAAAAAAGAAAAACATTTATAGTGTATATAAGTAAACCATTCTCGCTCTTATGTAAATCTCTTCTTATACCGAATTGGATTTATGGGTGGGCATGTAAACTCCGAACCTCAGAAGAGAAAAAACCCAAAATGTTTAAAAATCGGTTTGGTTTTCAATTTTTTAAACTTTTGAAACCAAAAGTGAACCAAACCCAAAAAAAAAAAAAAAAAAAAACTTTGTCCAGCCCCAATTGCTTTACAAAACATTTCCTTCCTCACGGTTTGCTTTGATGGGCTATTTTTATGTCATCGGTCCAGGGCGCCTTAGCCTATAGAAGAACGTAAAGCCCAAGCAAATATTTTATTTCTACGTGGCACGTTTCTACTGGCTTCATACTTCTTTATAACGGTCTTCGCACCACCAGATTATTGTGCCTCCCTTGTACAATCTCAAAACCCTACAACATCTCCTCTCGAATTTTCAATTCCCCCGCATCTCTCAGCCGCCAGCGCCTCCATCTCCGTCGTCCTCCAATCTCCGGCGCTGAAATTTACTTATTTGTTCCGATTTTATGTTCCATTTCACTGCCTCTTTGAGTAGCCATATGAATCAATTTCAATTTCGTATTTTGGCTTAGTTAGGAGGCAGATATTAATTTGATTTGATTTGATTTAATTTAATTTCAGTGTTTTGTGACCGAGGCCTTTTGGGTTTCTCAATCGATTGTCCTCCAAGCAGCCTCACACATTCTCAAATCTTTTTTCCCAAATATTCTTTAAGTTTTTGTTTGCTTTGTTACTTTTGCCCTCCGAATAACCAGAAGGCGAGATGCAAATCCGACGCCGTTTGGTTCAGACAGGGGCAAACAGCGATCCGAAGCCGTTTTGTGGGCGAAGATCTGATTATTTCTTCGTCCTTTATTTCATTTTTCAAAAACTTTGCTTCGAACATTTTTCATTTTTCGCTTAATTATTTTGATGTGATTAATTGAGATATTTTTTTTTTAATGTGGATAATATCATATGTTATAAAAAAAAAATTTAACTGTGAGGTTAGGGGCCTCTTAGAAACCGAAAGGTGGATGTGAAACGGCGCCGTTCGGTTCACGCGGAGGCTCTCAGAGTAAGGGAATGGCCCCCCGAATCAGTTTGAGGGTTAGGGATGAATGTTTTTCTATCCCCCTTCCTATAGGTTGTTTCGGAAAGTTATGTATTTTTCACTTCCTCGTATTAATTATTATTTTCTTGATTAGTTTCCTACATCATGATAAAATAAAAAAGATTAAGGATTAAATTTGGGGATATAAATGAAAAAAGAACTTGAAAAATGAAGCATGCAACAAGTAAAGTAATAGCAGATGAATAATGCTGGATACATCAAATATCATTAACAAATAATAATGCTAATCAAATTCAACAAAATCTTTTAATTTTTCGCATTAACTAGTAATCAAATACGCGTAAATTTTTATATACTTATTTTAATCTTGATTGGATACTCAGTTTTCTTAAAATTTATTTAAATTTTAATTGAATAGTCGTAATTCAATAAGTTACTTTAAAGTTGTTCAAAATTAAAAAATGATAATACTTAGTGGATATCCATTAACAACGAACCTAAGAATGGAGCACCGAAAGCCCAGAATAGGGGGCCCAATAGCTTCTATACCTTTGCTTCGAAGGGGCAAACTGAAAGAGCACGTTGGGTGAGATTTTCTGTGAATGCTTTATGCGGTGGTATTCGTGGGTGCCGGCGAGGGTTTATTTTACAAGAGAAACATATAGAAAATGAGAGCGACATTTGAAGCCCTTTGTCTTAGAGGAATTTTTCTATACGTATAATATCACTAACTATATATTTTGCTTGAGAGCAACACTTTCATATTAACACGCACACGTATATACATGAGATTACTTATGTTACAATAACGTGTTGAGGATTACGATTCTATACGAATCAAAAGTACTACACAAAAATATAATGAATAAATATAGTAATTTGATTACAAATACTGGTGATGAAACATAAAACTATCTTAAAGTACCAACCTTAATCTTTCTTTTATTAAAGAAATCTCGACAGTACGAGAAATATTTTATTAGTTTTAAAAAAATGTTACACCCAAGAGAGGACATAAACCTTATCCCTCATTTATAAACAAAAAAAAAAAAATACAAAAATAGAGCGTGGGGGTATATACTTGATCTCTAGAAAGAAGTACACAAGTAAAAGAGAGGGGACATAGAACTTGGACCCCTAACCTACATATCAAGAAGATGAAACAAACTTGTAAGTCGAGGCACACAAAGGATATTTAAGGGCGGTGTTCATGTCAAATGGCTGGATAGGAGAGCAAACCCAGTTGTCAGCAACTGCATTTCTTTTAGGTCCTTAATCTCTTAACAGCCCTGTTCACCATCGTATGAAGCCTCCACTTGTTCTTTAAGCACCTGGGTTTGGTCATTACTAACTGCTTATGAACAATGGTACTGGAGTCCACAGGGGAATGGACTCTTTGCATTGCGACCGTCAGTGTTTCTTCAGACATGTTTGCGAAGCAGGCTCTAAACCAACCGGGTTCAGAGCAATGACATGAAGCCCCGTGAGAGATATTCAACCCGAATTCACGAAACACTTTAAAAAAAAAGCTCCTTTTCAGCTTCAAAAGTGTTGGACCTCAAAAGGTGCCTCATGTCCACCCAGAAAAATAACACAGCATTGCTTTCCAAACACCTAATCCCTGCCCCTTTGAGCCCACAGACAAGCATCTCCTTTCTCTCTTTAAGCCTCTTTTGATTCTCCTCCATGTAATTGGTTCTGAATTTCTTGTCTTTCAGCATCTCGGAAAGCATGTATTGAGTTTGTGAGGAGCTAGATAAGTCCAAAGCTTGACATCTTCGTCGCTGCGGACACAACTGTTGGGTTGTTGGAGTAAAGCATGCCTACTCGGAAACCCGGCAAGCCAAAATCCTTAGAGAGGCTGTACACAATATTGTGACAATTCCATATGTCGGCCTCTTCTAGGTTTCTTTCAGTTAGAGCTTCTGCGAAGCTTATGAAACTGGGGTAGTTGAAAGCTGTTCCCGAGTATATTTCATCGCTTACTATGTGTATTTCTTTTGCAATGGCGAAATCGATGATGTGGTTGAGCTCAAGTCGAGTCACTGTTGTGCCTAAAGGGTTTGAAGGATTTGTGAACAATACTCCTTTCACTTTTAGGTTTAATTTTTGGGCACGTTGGGAGGCCTCCTCCAATGCAGATTCAGTGATTCTGAATCCATTTGCACTTGTGCAATGAATTGGAACGATTTCAACTCCGGTACGCCACTTGAGATCTTCATCAAACCTGCCGAAAAGTAGCAGTGATCAAAAAACATGTTTTGGCATAAATAGAATGCAAGGCACACACACAGTGGGGATGAGGAAGGCTTCACCAGGATCGGCAAGGCAAAACATAAGAGTCTCATTGGCAGGAGTTGAACCCGCGGTGAGCACAATCTTGTTCGGATCAAATTTTACTTTGTTTCCTCTCATTTCCCCCAAGAACTCAACCAACGCCTGTATATACAAGTGCATGTTAGTCTACAATATGTATACTGTACTTGCATGCGCGCACACACGTCTAAGTATATGTTCATCCAGGTCAACTGTAAGCTTAAATTTATTTACAAAAAAAATATGCTATATATTTAGAAAATAAAATTAGAAGTAATTATACATTCTTGAAAGCAGGGAAGCCATTATAGTCTTGAAAGAGAGCCAACTCTCTGAAAACGGATTCGTCATTTCTTTTCAGCAACAGTGCATGTGGATTGCTTTCGAGCCATGACTCAATAAGGTCAAACTGAGAGCTGCAAAAATAAGAACACACTTAATAATTAAGCGACATTAACCTTCTCTCCCGAGTTGGTGAGAGTCTTTCTCTCTAACTGAGATTCCTTCTCACCTCTTGTGTGAGGTTTTCGTTCTTGGTTTTTCCGCTTGGCAGCCGACCCTAACTATGGCTGGGGATGGTGGTAATCCTCTTCTTTTTCTTTTTGCTCTTCCCTCCCTTATTTTCTGTTACTACTCTTCCTCTGCTATCCATCATGATCAGTGAGACCTATGCATCCTTGATGCCATTATTCCTACTCAATTAATTCCTCATATCCATCCAATCCATCACTCCTCTTCATGTCCCTCATCCATCCCCCACAAAGCCGATCCTCTATATTTTCAATTTGGCTCCATCCTTCATCAATTTATACCCTTGTTTGGTCTACAGTCACTTTTGACTGTGATCTGTCACGGTACATCGAGAAGGTGTGTCAAGTTCCGGTCTTCATATCGGCTTGGGTGTCCGCACCACCTCCTTCTCTTGGTCTGCCTTTATTGGCAGTGTTTCTTGTGGGATTCTCACAGGCTTCGTTGTTTTCTTCTCCTTGGTGGTTGCGTTCGGAGAGGGTTTCATTGATGGATCATGGGGTCTTCCTTCCTCTCATCTCTAAGGTGTTGATTGGTTGGAATTATGGTGTACTTGGTTCTTGCTGTTCGTGCGGTGCTACAGAGGCGGTTGTAGCAGAAGACAAGGGTTCTCTTTCGGTGGGTCTTTGTTTTTGGGCTTTAACCTTTGTCTTGGCCCTTTGTGTGTAGTTTGTAAGGTCCAATTTTGTGTTGTGTATAAGGTTTGGACCTTGGTGTGTAGTTTGTTTGGCCCTTTTTGCTTTGTGTTTTAGTACGGGCCTTTGTGTTGTAAGTTTTCGGTTGGTAATAAATTTACCATTTGTTTAAAAAAAAAAAAAAAAAGAGACCTGTAAAAATTAATTAATTAAAAATGTATAAATAGAGTGTCACCTGATTCTCTGCAAAAATTGTTTGCTTAATAATTATATATACTATAGCTAAGCTAGGTAGGTATACATAGAGTGTCACCTGATTCTCTGCAAGTCCCATCTGAATGATGCCGTTTGGATTTGTATCTTGGTCGTAAAGGTTCCTTTCGTATGAGTCCTGGTCATGAGAGTCAGAACTTGCTTTCTTTGACAACATTTTCAATACAGCCATGGTAGGTAGGCTCCAATTATACGTTCGAAATTTTTGCTTGATGAATGGTACTCCTCCAGTAACCTTCACAAAGAAACCAAAAACAGGTTAGAAAATGATAACTATGAATAAAGTTACAACAGTAAAACGAAAACAGTTAATTTTCTCTTCGAAATGGTATCTGTGAATGCTTGATTAGAACACAATTTAGGTTGATGCGTGTAACTGCTCTCCTTTAGAGTATGTCACCTCCTCAAGGACAATTACAATACTCAAATCGATCTATGAGCAACTCGAATCTTTTTTGTTTGGATGAAGAAGTTGATGGACCAATTAGAGAATGTAGAAGTCTTGAATGAACAAGAGAATCGAAGAGAAGGATGCATGCTAGAAGTATATATCTCTCACAAGATCGGACTCCAATATATATAGGGGAAAAGCTAGCTTGGAAAGACGCTGGGAGTAATTAACAAAGTTTAAAAAAATGATCAAATTCAATTCAACAAAATTCTCGTATGAATTAAAGAAAGTATGACCGATAATACCAATAGAACGCATAACGGATATATGTAGTATTGAAAACTTGAAAGTATATATTGAGTTCAAATTTTATGCACCCAAAATCCTATGTGTCTATCTGTGTTTTATCTTTTTGAGAGACACGTGTCTTTTTTATTTAATTTATCATTAGCTTTTAATTTTTTAATTAAGAAGATAAGTTGAAAGTTAACACTGTTAAATGAAGTTTAAATGAATGGTCACGTGTTGCTCAAATAAATAGGGCAAGAAAAGAAAGGTCACAAAAGATTTGATCTCGTATATAAAATAGAAAACATTGTTGGAATTTAATTATTATTTCCAAAATACTTTATCCTTTTGTGAATTCGAGACCTCCAATTCATTGGCGATATCAAGTTTCATGACTTTTAGAATCTCCTAGTTGGGATTGGTTTGATTGTCGTCTTCCTTTTCAATTATGTTTGTTTAATTTCATGCTAGTATTGGAAAGACGTAATTAACCAAACAATATATCTTGTGGTATTCAGAATAAGAGCTGTTATTAGCATTTAAAAAATCTTATTATACACTGCGTGTATTTTTCTTTCTAATTATAGAAAATTTAGAGTGCCAAATGAGATTTTAGAAGTGCTAATAACAATTCTCATTCAAAATTAAAGAATTACTGACTTTGGTTTGTTCGATGAAAAGAAAAACTTATAAAACATTGGATGGAATGGACAAATTGGTTTATCTTTGATTCAGTGAATCAATCTGTAAAACATGCAAATTCACGGAATCTATTTACCATAAAATAACTTGTTTTGGAAACCCCGAAACTTCACTTTTTAGAAATATACATGCCATTTTGGTAAAAATTTAGTTTAAATGTGTGAATTCAGCACAGAATCTACCTGCGTGGACAGAAATGGAAATTAAAATGGCAGTCTGGTGGAAACTGAATATAACATATACAAAAAATTTTACAAGTTCATGTTTTGCAAGCTCAAATTTTTATCCATCTTTTTGGTAATTTTTTTTTTGTTTTTTCGTTTTTAAATCTAACCAAAAAAATTGGAGGGCAGAAGTTGATGGGAGATCAAGAAACAGAGCTACTATTACATTTTATTCAGCTAATTTACATACAAATTAAAAGAAGAATGACAGTGCGTGATATTTTTTTGGGTAAATTACACTTTCATACCTCAGGTTTGAAGTATATTTCAATTTCTTACAACATCTTTAAAACATTTCACTGTCATACCTTAAGTACTATTTTATTTCAAAATAATACTTATGTTACATTTTTCATCCATTGATCTGTTAAATGCTTACGTGGCTGCCACATATATGCCACATGGTTACCAAATGTCTACCACGTGGCAAATAATTTTTTTTTTAAAACTGATTTTTCTCAAAAAAAAACAAAAAAAATGAAACTAGTGCCTTCCCCCGCCCCCCGGCCCCCTCCCCCCCCCCCCCCCCCCCCCACACACCCCCCCCCAGCCCCCTCCCCCCCCCCACACCCCCCCCCCAGCAACCCTAACCCAGAACCCAAAAACTTGCAAGAAGAAGAAGAAGAAGAGGGAGGAAAAAAAAAAAAAGTCCCAGTTTGTCCCACCCGAGCCACCCCTTTCTCCCATCCCCCATCACCCCTCCCAAAAATCCCCCATCATCCACAAAAATTCCACCCGAGATTAGGTGGATCTACCACAAAACCAGCCCAAAAATCATCTCAAACTCAAAGTATTTTCAAAACCCACCCATACTGAAAATCATGAGATCTTGACCCGAGGGGGACGGGGAAGGGGGGAAGGTCGCACAGCACTGGAGGGGGGGACGAACTGGGTTTGGGGTTTTTTCCCTTCTTCTTCTTCCTCCTACTGCTGATGTTGCAGTTTTTTTTTTTTTTCTTTTTTTTCTTTCTTCTTCTTCCTCCCCTTACTTCTTCTTCTTCTTTTTGCTGCTGCAACAGGTTTTTTGGGTTTTGGGTTAAGGATAGGGATGTGGGTTGCTGGAGGGGGGGGCGGGGGAGGGATAGTGGGTTTCATTTTTTTTTTTTTTTTGAGAAAATTCAGGTTTTTAAAAAAAATTAAAAAATTATTTTATTTGCCACGTGGCAGACATTTGGCAGCCACATCAGCGTTTAACAGATCAATGGATGAAAAATGTAACGGATGTATTATTTTGAAATAAAATAGTACTTAAGGTATGAAAGTGAAATGTTTTGAAAATGTTAGGAATTGAAATATACCCCAAACCTAAGGTATGAAAGTGTAATTTACCCTATTTTTTTGCTGCAATTATGACAGATGTGATTATGTCATTGTTAGTATTGAGAAAATGGGAGTATTGGTTCTTGACCTAAAAATTCACGAGAATTGGTTCCCGGCATAACCTCCATCCAAAATATAGAGTTTAGATGGGCATATAACTATATAAAGGACAAAAGTTCTAACGTACGTAGTTACCTAAAATGACCATTATTCCACATTGTTAGAAATTCAAAGATTAACTCACAAGTATTTAGTTCAGTACCAAAACTCCACTTAGAATAAAATTTTGGGACAATTGCTCTAATTTCATTTTTCAATCTTCCTACTATGCATTACAATGCCTTAATATGTCTCTCAAGAATATACTCCTACCACACAAGTACCAATTTTCTTTTGTTCAAAGCATTAGCTATTATAATTGGTCCATTTTATTTCAGCTTGCAACGACTAATCTAAATCTCTCATGGTAATTTGTGTTCAACATGACAGAGTGGATGCAAACTTGTGAACCGATATGTTCACCATTTCATTGTCGCATCTTTGCAGTATTCGTTTAACTTTTGAATATTTTTTTTATCGCCGTATCGTATTGTATTTTCGTATACGAATGCATGCAACACCGGTTAATTAGATTCTGATTTGCACCAAGGTTAGTGACTGGAAGTTGCTGCAAATGCTTTTTAAATGTTTCAAACCAGATAAAAATATAGTAATCTCTTAATTTTCAATGTTGGAAAGTTGCAAGGGATTTACAAGACGTTTGATGCAACATATGCCAACACAGATAAAACCAAACAAATAAGAAAATAGAATGATGTTCTCTTTATGGTCTGAGTTTTTTATTTTCTCTTGTTCAAAATTAAAGCACAATTAGGGTTTGGTTTGTTCGATTAAGGGTTCAGGGTTTAGGGAAAATTGTTTTGCATGTAGTGGAAAGATGCGTTTAAGCATTATACTGACTAATGACAAGTTCAATACAGATCAAAACAACTTCTATGACTAATGACTGGGGTGTTTTTTGGTTGGAATATGACCGGCAAGGCCTTTTTTTGTCCAAAACAAAGGGTAGGATGCGAGAAGTGAGTCTCGATGAAAAATCTTGCTAGGACTTTCAATCTGATAAAAAAAAAGAGTTTCACACTTTTACAATTAATGACAAGAGCTATCATCTAAAATAGAAGGTCCTTTGGCTACGAGTTTTTCCATTTATAATCTACGACTAAAGGATTCGAATTTGAAGTTATCACTAAATCATCAATAGTTAATTAACAGATTAACTGGACCTTAGAGGACTGTTTTTAGATTAAGGAAGTCCTTTAAAAAGCAAATATATACATATACATCTCACATGTAGTTTACTACTATCACTGTTTAGATATTCTACAATATCAGTAACACTTCATCATTAATTTACACACATATGTATACATATATGCATATGAGACTACATTTTCATTTTTTTTCCAATAACGTGCCGTGAACCATCATTCTTACGAATAAAAAATACCACACAAAATACAACGAATAAATACAATAATTAACTACATTTTATGGTGATGAAAACATAATCTGCAAGCATCGCCTGCTTAATCTCTACCTTATCAGCAAAACAAATAAATTCAGTACGTCACACAGGATTAATTACTTAATTAACTAACGGTCTGGTTCACGCTCATATGAAGCCAATTGGAAAACCCACTTGCTCTTTAACCACCTGGATTTGGACAGTCCTGTTTGCTGGTGAACAATTGCGGAGTCAACGAGGGCCTTGACACGTTGCATTGCAACCATTAGGGTTTCTTCAGACATATTTGCAAAGCACATTCTAAACCAACCCGGTTCAGAGCAATGGCAAGAAGAACCGGGAGAGATATTCAACCCGAATTCACAAACCACTTTCTTCCAAAGCTCCTTTTCAGCTTCAAAAGTGTTGGACCTCAAAAGGTGCCTCATGTCCACCCAGCAAAACAACCCAGCATTGCTTTCCAAACACCTAATCCCTGCCCCCTTGAGCCCACAAACAAGCATCTCCTTTCTCCTTTTAAGTCTCCTTTGATTCTCCTTCATGTAGTTGGCGGTGAATTTCTTGTCTTTCAGCATTTGGGAAAGAGTGTACTGAGTTTGTGAAGAGACAAGTCCGAAGCTTGACATCTTTGTAGCTGCGGACACAACAGTTTGATTGTTGGAGTAAATCATGCCTACCCGAAAACCCGGCAGCCCGAGATCCTTAGAGAGGCTGTACACAATGTGACAACGATTCCATACTTCGTCGTCTTCTAGTTTTCTTTCAGTTAGAGCTTCTGCGATGCTTATGAAACTAGGGGAGTTGAAGACGGTTCCTGAGTATATTTCGTCGCTTATTATGTGTATTTCTTTTTCCATGGCGAAGTCTATGAGGTGGTTGAGTTCAAGTCGAGTCATTGTTGTGCCTAAAGGGTTTGAAGGATTTGTGACCAATACTCCTTTAACTTTTAGGTTGAATTTTTGGGCTTGTTGGTAGGCTTCTTGCAATGCAGACTCAGTGATTTTGTATCCATTTTCACTTGTGCATTTTATTGGAACAATTTCAACTCCGGTACGCCACTTCAGATCTCTATCAAACCTGCCAAAAAGAGGAAGTGAACAACAACAATAGTTGAGTTATATTTTCAATCAAAATCGAAGTACTAACTAAGAAGTTATACGCGGGATTAAATTATTAATTGTATGCACCGGTTCATGCATATGAAACTCACAAGTTATAAATGTTTGTGAGACTCAGTTTGAGTGGTGAGTTTTACTTGCTTGTAGCTGTGACATAAGGGTTTATATGTAACTAGCATGTACAAAAAATTCTCAGAGTACACTGAGAAAAAAATGATTGGACGTAATTACGATGTAGCGGACAAAGATTAGATCAATACCCTGGATAGTATGGAATGGGAAGGAGGAAGGCTTCACCGGGATCAGCAAGGCAAAACATAAGAGTTTCGTTGGCAGAAGTTGAACCGGCTGTGAGCACAAGCTTGCTTGGATCAAATTTTACTTTGTTTCCTCTCATATTTGCCATGAACTCTACCATCTCCTGTATATACAAGCGCATATTAGTTTACAATACACACACACACACGTATATATTAATCCATGATCAAAATTGTAAACATATATATTTATTGGGTAATGCTAGAGAAACTAAATTTAAAAACAAAGTTTTGAAAACTAAATAATATATATGGAAGTTGATGATTGGTTTATTACTTAAACGTTGATAAACATGCTTATTTCTATTGGTGACGCATAATTTATTTTATAAATTTAATATCCAAATTTATTCTCCATAGCATTCCTCATATTTCTTAACAAAAAAAAAAATTTCAATATATACATTTAGAAGATTAAATGTTTACATAAATTTAGAAGTAACTACGTACATTCTTGAAAGCAGGGAAGCCGTTGTAGTCTTGAAAGAGAGCCAACTCTCTGAAAACAGATTCTCTATTTCTTTTCAACTCCAGTGCATCGGGATTGCTTGCGAGCCATGACTCAATAAGGTCAAACGAGAGCTGCACAGAGAGAGAGAGAGAGAGAGAGAGAGAGAGAGAGAGAGGTGCAAGTTACCGGAAGTGGAATTGCGGAAGAGACTAAAGATGTACAAAATATTAACACTCAAATAATTATAAAAATTAATTAAAAAATGTATAAACAGATATAAGACCATGCGCACGCACGCATGCAAAACCACCAACCAACTTGGATTGTGACTTTGAACAACCATGTACCATCTGATTGATTACATGATTATTTCTTATCATGATAGCTTGAGGCTTGACCAAGCCATGAGATCTTTTCAAAATATTTTGTGGCATAGAAGCTAGCAAGTAGTACTTTTTTTTTACTTTTACGTTAGAGGGCTTCGAACCTTATACTTAATTTACTAATTTCAATGGACTTTAGTAGCAATAATAGATCGTAGATTTTCATGATGACGGATTCTCACCTGATTCTCAGCAAGTCCCATCTGAATGATACCATTTGGATTTTGAACTTGATCATATGGGTTCTTCTCGTATTCCTGCCATCCCAGGAAGTAGGATGAGTCCTGGCCATGCGAGTCACAACTTGCTTTCCTTGACAACATTTTCAGTGCAACCAAGCTTGCTTGCCTCTGGTTAAGTACTTGTGAAATGAAAATAACTTTTTCTTAACAAGCTTAGAGAGAGAGAGAGAGAGAGAGAGAGAGAGAGAAGTTGGTTTTTAGGAAGGAGGGTTTGCTTTGTGGAAATAGAGCGCTGCATGCATATAAATAGGGAGCCTCAAGGCACGGGGGTACATGAGGGAAAAACCCGAAATGCACATTAGTCCGACACTATGAATAATAAATTGACGGTGCTGATTCTTTGACCAGTGTTTACAAATTATATAAAAAATTTATCTTATAAAATATAAAGTAATTATAACTGTAATCACAATTAATCACTTCATAAGTCCTAGTCATTTTATGGATATAGACATTATTATTAAAATTGTGCATGTACGTACTTCTCTTACTATACTATTAGATTGTTATATATAGCATGTAAATAAGAGTATTATAGAATTTTTGTTAACGGCCTATACATATACAAAATATTATAAATTCATTTCATTTAAATGCAAAGTAAAATCCATCTTTTTGGTAATCTTTTATTTATAATAAAAGTGGAAGGAGATGAGAAATCAAGAAAAATAGCTCATACCACCCCACATTCACGCAGTTAAATTACATACAAACGAAGGGAATAATGGCTATATGCATGATACTTTTGGCTGCAATTTTTGACAAATGTGGTTATGTCATTATTCCCATCATTAATTAAACATTATATTTTTAGTTGCTGTAGCTGGATAGGATTATTGGATGTCGAAGACAGATGGCACTCAACTCTGACTTCCAGTGAAGCACCGACACGCTAACGTCATGTTTTTTTGCTCTGAAAGCGAACATCATGTACGAATGTCTTTTTGCGTCATCGTTCTCCAATTAATCAAGTTTTTGAGTTTTCAATTTCATAATATATAATATAACCGCATAATCAAATGTCTTATGGTAGGTATATGTGGAAAGGGATCATCATCGGATTCTATTTTTAGGAATTTTAGGAATTCTGGGATTGTGATCGTTCATTATATATCGTGTGATCATAAATTATTTTAAAATTTTAAATTTTAAATTAAATATAAATAGTACCAAACAAAAATTGACTGCATAATGTACGATGAACAGTTACGATCATAAAATTCCTAGGATCCCTAGAAAAATGATCTGCCCAGGATCCTTTTCCGGAATATGTAACCACGTTAATCAAGTGTGTTGTGGTAGGATTAATGTTATGGTTTCAATTTATATATTTAAAATTTGTTAAAATAGAGACTATTGTTGAAAATACAAGTTAAATGCGCTAGCAAAATTTTGACGCTATTTACTAGCTAAATTAGCAAATTTTAGTAACTCTTTGAAGTGCTGTTATAATTTAAATTAAACTACACACATAGAAGAGGATTCAAACTCAAGGGAAAACGGCGAGTGCATTCTTTCTTATACTGAAAATTTATGTTGTTTAAATAAGATAAAACCGTGTAAAAAACATAATTTAAATAAGAATAAATTATACAAAACTACATTAACTATTGGACCAACTACAGTTTTATACCCCATATTTAAAACATTTCAATGTCATACCTTATCTTACGAATTTGTTGCAATGTCATACATCCGTCAGTTTGTTTGTCAATTCCTCCTTTAAATGTTGATGCGGCTTGAGGCGGGCCCACTCGCTGGCCCAACTGGATTAAAAAATTAATTAAATATTAGAAAAAAAAATCATTTAAATATTTTTATAAAAAAAAAGATGGGACCCATCCCCTACAAACCCATCACCATCACCCTTATTCCCAGTTCACCTCAGACATCAACCTCACCCATCTTCGGTCACCCCAACCTCTCCTCCGCCACTTGTTCGACTCCCCCTCCCTCCGTTCCTCTCCTTCCCTTCCTTGACAAACTATCCACAATGGGCATTTGAACATGAAAAATATAATTTTACATAAACTTCCAGCTCTCTTTCTATCACCCTCCTCCTTCCCACCTCCATTACTGTTGCTAGATTACTTGCAGGTTAGAGAAACGGAGGAGAGAGTTTGAACCCATCAACTCCCTCCCTCCTTCCCTTTTCTCCCTCTCCAATCTTGCCGTGCTGGGCCCCTCTTTCAACCTAGTATGTGGCAAAATTCCACCAGATCTCTACCTCTTATGGGCTCAAACCCGACTCGATCCCCCTTGTCTTCCCTAGTTTCCAACTCGAGATCCAAACGGAGCCACTGGGAAATTTATAGGTCGTGAGTAAAGGTGTTAGACCATTGGTAGTGGTGGGTGGCGGAGGTGTTGGACTAGCTTGAGAGAGAATTTTAGGGGTCTTTAATTTGGGGCTTTTCCTGGTGCGTTGTGAGCTTTATGGGTCGGATCTTCCAGTCGAAGAACAACTCATCGGCAGAGCTCATATTCCTATTCAAGAACAACTCAGTGATATTAAGTCACGACGATTTTGAGGTTCTGAGTGTACTGGGCGAGTTGATGAATATTTTTGGTTATTAATCTAGGACTCGACGGCGAGGAGAGTGTAAGGAAGATGAGGATAGCAACATAGGAAGAGGGAGGATAAGGAGTGGTGGAGGAGGTTTACACAATGAAATCAGCTTTAGAATTTTCAACTAAAAAGTGATTAATTTGGTAAAATTTGTGTAAAATGGTTGTGATTGTGGCATATAGGGCTTTGGATGAAGTCTAGGTGAGGGAGGAGAGGGCGAGGTTGATGTCCTTAGGTGGGCTGGGGAAGAAGGGTGAGGGTGATGGGTTTGTAGGGGGTGGATCCCACTTTTTAAACAAAAGAGTGGGGCCCGCCTCAAACCACGTCAGCATTTAATGGAGAAATTGACAGACAAACTGACAGAGGTATAACATTGCAACAAATTCGTAAGATAAGGTATGACATTGAAATGTTTTAAAGATGAGGTATGAAACTGTGGTTGACCCAATAGTTGAGTTAATTTTGTGTAATTTACCCTTTAAATAATGGCTTATTTATATTTCTTAAGATCAAAATTTGTCTTTAAGGATAATAAGCATGGTTTCATTTTTTATCTTAAACTCAAATATCATACAAAGACGCGGATGTGTATCTGTTGTCTAAGATAATGTGTCTATCACTTTGTATTCAAATTTGAATTATCTTCTCGTAAATTAGAATATCTTAGAATATCAAATAACATTATTAACCTTATTTTAGTTGAGAAAAAAAAAAAGAAGAAATTATCACATCTCATGATACTTATAAATCGGTTTGATATTTCGTAAAAAAGAAATTGATATATTTGCATGATTGCATCCTTTGGAGAAGAGGTGGTGAAATATCACTATTATTAGAGTGTCCTGAGTAGTTGTAGTCAATCGTGGAACCCAGGAAGTCTGGTCTTGTATACTTCTGCAGATCCCTCCAAATCAGGTAACCCAATTGGGGAACATTTGGGACTTGCCTTTGAGTTCCTCTTTGTTTTTATTTCTCGGACTGAAGAGAGAGCGGGAGAGAGAGAGCACTCTGCAAAGCTTGGCATATGATGCCATGCCAGCCACGATAATGTTAAAGAGACTCTCTCGAAATGAAGCTCTTCATAGACTCTCGGCCGCTTTATATTTTTGGTATAATATTTTATAATGTCGTCATATAAATTGTGTCAAAAATATAAAATAACCAAAAATTCATAAAAAATTTATAAAAAATATCACTTTATAAAGTCTCATTTGCATTTCTCTTATCCATATGTTTTCCATATATCCATTCTATCCAATGGTGAATGATTAACACGGACTAGGTGGTCCATACCGTACCATTAGATGCACAGAATGGTAGATAGGAGTTCCTGGTTGTGGGCTGTTGCCAGGTGTCGTGTTTTTAATTCGGACATCGGGTGGTCCATACTCCATGGCGTTTAGGAGCAATGAGAATCTCAATAGAAGGCGTGTAGAGTTAGGGTAAGGGCTAGCAGTGTCATGTTCCAAATCCATATGATATACGGGTCCCATTTAATCCTTTGTTTTTCAAGAAGGATTTACATGGAACATGTTTAATGTCACATAATGTTCTGAACTAATAATATATTATTATATTAAATTTGTTTTTTTACACAACAATACATTATTAGATCGAAACACTCTTATAACAGTTAACTTATTTCGTATAAATTACTCGTTTAGTTTTCTCGGCCATTTTCTTATTGCCTTCTCCCTTCTCAGCGTTAAAGCTTATCTCCCACCTTATATAAATCTCATGAAGTTATTTAAATTTATTTTGTAAATGAATAATTTACTATTAATTACATCGATATTTTTGCATAAGATCGACTGTGACAATTATTAGACCATACAATTAATTAAATTAATGACAATATGAATGTTAATTGACAACGAATTTTTGAAACTTCTCAGAAATTCTGACAGTCGTCCTTTTAAAAAATACTACATACCTTCTATTTTAGATGAGTTTCTGAGAAACAACTGAAGTCTTATCCCATATCTCAACTGAACCCTACTAATTAATTTATATAGCTAGCTAGCTCCCACTGCATGCTGTTTCGTTTTAAGGATTGACTCTATAGCTAATGAATCATCATAGAGAATCAAGTTAAGACGTGCCCGATAAATTAATATATAATCCTTAGAAAACTAATCATTCGTACATTTTGCATGATTTTATATGATCGACAGTCAGTCAACATAATATATTACGTAGTTTACATACACTACATAAATTGCTAACTAATTTTCTGTTTTTATCCTATGGCGCTTCCACTCTTAAAACCTAAATATTTGAGTGCTAATTTAACTACTTGCAGAAAAGTTATATATACGTGTGATTTTCCCAACACTAATACAACACAAAGCAGTACATTAGCTAGATTGATTATTTAAAACAAGTGATTAAGGGAGTGACGGAAAAGGGTTGGTGTGTGGTTTATTTTCCTTTCATTAAATTTGTCTTGTTTAGCATAATCACACGCGTTATAGAGTGAGGCACAGCTCAACTGCAAGATTTGTTCTTGATTCTCTGGCACTGAAACTGCAATTATTTTCCACAGATTCTGTCTTAGAAAAATAATCTAAAACTATAACTCATGAGTTTAATATCCAATTCAAGTTGACCACAAAAAAATAAAAATATCAATTATTCATGCAAAAGAAGTGTTTTTTTATTTTGAAATGGAAACCATCATGGTGAGCTGCCTGAAAACGATCTAGATAGTGACTATTGTATATAATATATATATATATATATATATATATATATATATAAAGAAGCTTTAGTGATACGAGTAAAATTTTATTAATAAAGTAAAAAAAAAAAAAATAGAAAACTTCATTTCAATTCCTAAATAAGATTGCTTTTTCAATAATACCGTATGTAAGGTTAAAAACTAAAAATAGTCTTCCATGTTAGATTATAGTATTCTATGTCACATTTAATCATTTTTTAATAAATTTATTGCATTTTCAGTTTCCCTATTTACCCTTATTACTCTCTTAAAACTAATTAGAGAAACAAATATATAATTAATTTTTCAAGAATGCTTAATTAACTAGATCCATAATTAACATGTTCGTTATAACAATAACATTACCATAAACCTTCATGTGTTATTCCAATCAAAGAACCCAGAAAACTCAGAAACCATGATCAAACAAAAAAAGCTAGAAAACTTAGAAACCAAAAATCTCGTTGTATTCAAAAGAAAGGGGCTTTTAGATGCCAAATTGACGGTGAATCCAGAGATAAATGAAAGAAAAAAAATACAAATAGAGAAAATAGAATGTGAAATCACAACCTATTGATTGTACCGAATTAATCGGACATACACTATATATACCTAACCGACTGTACCGAATGGATATGACCTAATTGACAGTACCTAAATGATTTAGGTGCATTCATATAGGTACCATGGTTTAGGTGCATTTGACTTGGTACTATGATTTATGTGCATTTGACTTGGTAATATGATTTATGTGCATTCGACTAGGTTCTATGATTTAAGCACATTAGGACATGGTTTAAGTGCATTCGATTATGTATAATATATGATTTGGCTATTTTTATTTCCTCTATGCTTTGAATGGTGATAATTAATAATTTGAACTAGGTATTTATTAATTCTTGTAACGTATCACTAATATTTTTTTGAATTATGTTTATCGTTTTAGAAAGTTAGACAATAATCAATGCCAAAAAATATGGAGCAAATTAAAATCAAATATTTAATAGGGGCATTATAGGAACAAAAATACGCATTAAATATTTAAAAACAAGAAAATATGAATTTTAATATTTATGCTGACATGGAAATTTAGTCAAAGGACTATAATGAAATATAATCTAACATAAGGTTTTAATTGAATTTCAATCTTTATCAAGGATTAAAATGAAGAAACCCCAAAAAAATTACATTTAATCGAAAGGATATAAACATAATTCGTCATAATACCACAAAAAATAACATATACATTATCTTCAAAAACAAAAACAAGAAATACAAAAAAAAAAAAAAAAAAGGAAAAAAGAAAAGAAGGAAGAGGACATCAAACCTAATCCCTCCAAAACAAAGCCTAAAAAATAATAATCTGCAAAACTAAAAACAAGAAAAGAACCAAAAAGGAACTAGATAGTGACGAATCAACGCGGTTTTGTAATATGTCTAACAACCAATTTTCTGCTAGATGAGACCCTGTGAGACCATGGGAAATAAATTTTACTTTTATTTATTTATTTTTCTAATTTATGCAGAAGTTGTTGGCGTTATTATTATTATTTATTTATTTATTTATTATTTTTTGTCCTAATTGGGAGGTCGAAGTCGTGCTTACACTTCGCACGGCAGAGATATGAGTTTGACGATTTGAGGGGTACTTTTTTTGTGTGCAGTGTAATTTAGATAACTCGATCGACAAAAAAAAAAAAATTAGATAACTTGAATTATAGTATGTAAGTTGAGAGATTTTTCGATCCATCTAGTACACAAGTACATGACGTTTTAGTATAATGTGTGGATTTTTACTTTATTAGTATACCTTATAAAACATATCAATTGTCTTCTACTTTCAACACGTGAAATAATACACCGCCTGACTTGTGTTCTCGATACCTCTAAAAACGCATGATGTTGGTGATGATGTGTTTCGAAAATATTAAGTGCCTTTTGGAATTGCTAGTTTAATGTTTTCAACAATGTTATTCCCATTATCCTTACGTAAACACACACTTAATTAATGGTAACAAACAATAGTTTAGTTTTAACCATTTTAATTTGGGTCTATAGATGTATACAATAATAGCAAAAATTTACTAATAGATGTCACTCTGCTCACTTTCAACCGATTGAGTTAATAATGGGGGCAAAAGCACCCGAATAAGGAGAAAAAAAACAATGGTCAAATTGGTTACGCAATAAGAACCCTAAATGAGATGTTCATCCAAATACGTAATTGTATTGAGGTATCAAAACCGGCATTTTCTTCATTCAGGAAACTCTTTACATGATGTTGGGACTGCATCTCTTATATAACTCTGGGTAAGCGGAAAGTTACTAGCTGCTATTGCATGCATGCATGGCCACCTTCCAAGCACACATAATTTTGTGAACATACATATGCCACTTGTGCACTTGTCTTTCTTGTTTTGCTTAAGAAAAAAGTTCTTAAGAAGGCATAGAGGTTCAACTTAATTTAGCTCTTGTATGATCGGAATGCATGCATATATAGTAAGTTTTTTAGAGTGGAAGAATTCGTGTCTTGAAAACAATTAAGAGTGATGGAATCCTAACATATGATTTGACAAAAGAAAAAGAGAATATAACATATGGGAGAGAGGGGGGATATGATAATGGTTGTGCTATTTTCACACATGTCTTTACTTTTTACACATCTTTTTTTATTTTTTACATACATTTTTAATTTTCGAACGTCAAAACGAATGAATTAAAGTAAATCAAAATACATGAATTAATAAAGAGTATGAATAGTAAAAAATGATGTGTAGATATCACATCCTTATAATAATTGGGTACAAGAGACGAGCGAAAGGGAAGGGGGCACGTGGTTTTGTAGTACAAGATGATAGAGGTCCTTTGTCTGAAAACCCTGACTGCCATGTGGAAACCACAATGAAGTGAGGAGCAGTTGGTTCCCCGGCCACACTGATCATTTGTATGACTTTACAGTTTACGGACTTAGAAAAGGCCCCAATATATGCCTGGTGACAACCAACATGGCTCCCACGTTCACTCACTGATATTTATGCCCTCATGCAGCATACTTTCATCTTATATATATCTCATTTCGTAAATCATAGGCACACACCAGTTTGTTAAGTCTTAATTAGCTAGATTTTTCCATGCAGTTAAGTCTACTAATTAGTACTTAATTATTAGAAATGAGCCAAATGATTGGTACTATAAGTAGAATATGTTTTCCTCCGTAGCATTGAAGATTTACGTACACTAATGGAGCTATATATAAAGACTGATCGATGATGATAGCAAAGAGTCAAGTCATCGACTCACCGTAGGGAAGGACTATGGAGGTATACTAGTACGTAATGTATAGGATTAAGATAATACGAAGGACGACATACAAATTGTGCTTTGTAGGCATTCCAATGATAATTTGACAAGTGTGCATAGATTTTTTGCTCTGTGTTTTTATGAATATTTTTGCATATGCATTAAATTGTAATTTGCAGGAAAGAAGAATGACCCATTCTAGAGAACGACCAACATCAATGTCCTATATATTTGGATGAGTGAAAAATGACTTATAGTATAAAAGTATAACGTGTTTTCATAAGTAATATATAAAGATTCGGAGCGATAAAATATTGATCGATGTTGATCATTTTAATCAGACACCTATAGAATACATTAAAAGAGTAGATACAAGATGTGTTTTGTATGTATGATCACCATAGACAAGGACTTTAGATGTGTACTAGTACGTAACGTTTGTTATTAAGATTATAAGAAAGTATGTAGAAATTAAGTTTCGTACGTATTTTCCATATAATAAAAGTTTATCCAAAGAGCACAAAAACAACAACTAGGGTTTACAGTGAAGAACAGAACTGAAGGTAGCTACTTGGATGTGACTGCATTTGAGCCGTATGTGATTTAGATGTCAAAAAGTAAAATGCGATAGTGATTCAAGCTGCTATACTTTTGTCGACAGTTCATAAGGTTTGTACGACCATTGTAGTATGCTTCTGTAACACAAGCAAGAAAATTATAGGAACCTTGTCTGATAAATTTAGAGTTAAGTGACATTTCTCTTTTGACCTACGTGTAGCGATGTAATTAGTACGTACCCTGCAGACTTTTTTCGCTAAAAATATAAAATCATAGAGCATGCATGTGGTATGTACGTCTCGACATGTATGATCAAATTCTACATATGGCTTTTATTACAAGCACTTTTACAATAAGACAATGTGAACGGTTTTCTACCTGTATCCAGCCAAATGGGAAAAATTACAAAAATAAGAAGCTATAAAGTGTAAAATTGCCAACAATCTTTGAACTAATTTGTGCTGATCTCCTGCATTTTGTTATAAATTGCAAGGCTGGTTGCAGTTGGAGGCTCCAATACTCAAATGTTGAAGCTCTGTTTTTAGGTCCAATTAAAATTACATGGATTAGGTTAGGCTTTGGTCCTTTCATTTATATTATTTGAGAGATGACAAGATGTTGCAAGTAGGCAATGCATTGCATGCACACTCGGTCTCAGCTCAAGTCAAAGATCTTCAGTCATGTTTCATGGGTAAGCTCTTTAAGTATCCACGTCAATTGATAATGCAAAAACTATGCCGCGTGTTGTATATTTTAACCCTCAATGGAAGGAAAGACCTTGTTTTTCTAAGACTAGCTCCAATAGGTGGTTGGAAAGAGAGTACTGGGAAAAATGACACTTAAGTCGGAACCAGGTTGGAGTCTGAATGAAGTTGGAATTGGATGGAGAAAAAGTTGTATAAGGTACAATATATCTTGTCATGTGACATTACTGAGTCTGGAAAAATAACATTCAATTAGAAGTTGAAATGAGGTTGAAATCAAACAGAGAAAAACTTTTTTAGAGTTGTTTGTCTCGTGTGTGTGTGAAAATATGACTTTTACTGAGGAGTTGGACCGAATGGCGGAAAATTTCGACTAGGGCTATATTCCATCACGTAGTAACTATTAAGTGTGAAAACTGACATTTGTTAAGAGTCAGAACTAAGTCACAATTGAAGCTACAAAATTTTAAATAAAGTAGTTTTCGTTGCATGACATTAGCTACAATACTATTGGCAAGACATTCATATCAACGTATGTTAAATCACACCAAATTATCACGTAACATGTAATTTTCATCTAAACCTAACTTCCAATATCCACTCATTTACGTCAAAATCCAAGGGCCACTTTTTTTTTCTCGTACAAAATTGTTTGGTAGATGTCATCTCCTCTTCTCTCCAACTTTATTGGATTTCACATAGGGAACAAGAACCTCTTCAAATTTCTCGTACAATAAAGTGACCAACCCAAGCAAAGCAAAAGCATAGTTTTTTTATTTTATTTATTTTATTTTGTATATGTATTATATTTTTAATGTGAGGGGGTATCTCTGCGGAGTATCTGAGTTTGTTCTGCAGACTCACTTAAAAATGTCTCCCACTGAATTTTACCACAACAGCTTCAGAGAATATTAACTTTTTACTTCTTCTTTTTCTTTTTCAGTACTACGCGTTCTCATGTTTTCTTTTGTTGTTTTGCTCCTACAACATTGGGTTGATTTAGTACATGAGAAATGATGCTTTCACAAAACAGCAACGATTAAAAACACCGGGTATGAGATATTTTGGTATTTTTAACAGTTAGATTTTTGTTTAAAAATATAAAAAACAAAGTTCAAGGGTTAAAATGTCCGGAGCATAGTGCCATTAGTAAATAGACGGAACTCTGATGCTTGAATTGTGAGAATTTTTTTAAGAGTAATTGAAATTTGCACCTCTGCAAAATGGATGAAAATAAACGGCAATTGATGAAATAATTAAAAGGACAAAATGTTCTTAAAGTTCGCACTGAAGAGACGTTGGCACAAATTGAAAGTTTAGAGAGAACCAAACTAAAAAGTTCAAAAAGTGAAGTGAAACAAGACCTATAATTCAAGGAATTTGTTTCTCTAAACGAAAATTTAACTTTCTTGAAAATCAGTTGTAAACTTGTAATTTTGTAATGTAAAGCTAATGGCAAGAAGAAATTTTTTTTTTTTTTTTTCAACAATCACCTGAACTAAGTCAAGTTAGTTAGAGCAATGTGCTCTCTCCCTCTGCACCCAAATCCAAATCCTCTTCCACGTATTTTCGGATTAGATTAATTAGAATATTGCCTGAATAAAAGCAAGAAATTATTGCCTTGAAGGAGTTGTACCATAATTTCTCCAAAGTTTGCTTGAGCCCAAAAAGGCAAAACCTACAAACTCCACACTACAAAACCCCACACCAACCCAAACCTCAAAGGCCTAACTCTATATGTAATATGGAGCAGAAAAGCAAGAAAACCAGCAAATAAAGGAGCATTTGGCAATGGGGAAATGGAAAGGTAGTAAAATGCTTTGATACAACTGTACTCATTGGTCAATGTCCAGCTAAGAACTGTACTACATTGGCGTTCAGAGTTTTAACTTTGGCTAGCATCAGTATTTTCTACACTGCAAATTTGAAGCTTTAAAATGAAAAACTGAAAAGCAAAATATGGCGAAATGCTCTTTTCTTTTGAAAATTAAGAATTGATGAAATCCTAGGTTTGATTTATCTTGAAGAAAATAGACCAATGAATTGGCTCAACAAAAACTAATTTAGCGACGTATCTGAGCACTCATGACTCACCAAACTAATGCATGCTTCGCTACACAAAACAATTCCAATGAAAGAATAAACATATGCAAGAATAGGGTTAGACAATACGTCGTAAAGGTTCCCCAAAAATTTGAAGTACTGTACTAAGCAGCTTCAGGACGGCTCTTATGTCAAGACGCCTATTTCAGTCGAATGTCAAGACATCAATTGAATGACTTGAGGTGGAAAACTTGGCAGTTTGAGACATACGACATCTTTGTTGCTGCCTCATTGAACTTCTTGGCGGCATCATCATTCTCTTCTAAGCTAATCTGACCAAAAAACTTAGACCACCATGATGTGCTCCTCAATTTGGCCTTCGCAAAGAAAACACGCCAATATGTCAGTTATCTAGCGAATAAAAACAACGATGTAAACCCTGATAAAATTTACAAAAACAAGATAAGGTAGAATGATAAGATGGATGATCTGAATGTTTGTCCCTCCTTCCCCCACCAGGGGAAGATACATGTACATTGTTCACGCATGGGAAAACCATAAAAGTTTTGATATCCCAATAAAACAATCAAATACGAAAACAAATATCAAAAGGCAGAAGGGTATAAAGACATGGACAATGAACATAACATATCTATCTATTCGGCATGTTCAAGGTTCATAGAATAAGAATAACTATATGTGCAGCAGTTACTTACCGCCCTCCCAAATTTGGAGACCTCAGCAGCTTTAGCTCTCTGCTTGCGAGGATAGCCTGTATGAAAAATTATCAAACATCTTACAAACTCAGATAGATTTGTAAATTCCTCCCACCAAAATGTGAGTTTTGTAATGCTACTTGAGAAATACATCTTCAAATTCGGAAGAAGCAAAACCAGGTGAACTACATGGGAGTCAAAAGGCACATTTCATTGACCTTTTCAAAACAACTGATAGTGTTCAGTGTCACAATCCGTCAAAAATTCTTAAAACACATTGTCACAAATTGTTACAAGAGAAGACAGGTTATAGAGCTCAAAATCCAAACTCATGCCATATTTGCGGTAAGGCATGGATTCCAGAAACACATAAAATTGGGATTATATGGATTTGAACAGTAACTGAGATTCAATGAAATAAGAGCTTACCTGTAAAGACCACAAGACCATCAGACGACACCCTTGCCAAATCAGGGAGGGTTCTGTTGAGGTATCTTTCAGACAAATAATCCAATGCATCCGAAACAAGTACGAGAGAAAATGACTTTGGCCTGTACGGAAGTGGATACTTGATATCAACAACACGCACAATGTCTTTGCGCACAAGAGCTTTACAACTTCTACCAGCATCCTCTACATCGTAGGGTTCCACACCCCAGGCTTCAGTTTCTTCCTCACTCAGCAATTTGGAAACCACAGTACAAGTATCGGGCCCAACGTGCAAAACCTTATGCATGCTGTCGCCATACGCTTTCTTCAAAACGGGAATTGCTTGTTGGACCTCCACCGTGCATGAGTAATCACCTGCAGCTAAAATCCTCACATGAGGTAGCATAGAGACAAGTTCATACACCAGAAAAAAATGCAACAAAACATTGAAAACATGAACCAAATTTGCCACCAGCTTTGTCAACTCATATCATTTTCCAAAAGGGTACTGATTTTCACACTCCCGTTCTCTCCTTCTGCAGTCATCTCCTTATTTATGTTCCTTTTTTCTCCTTTGATTCACTCAATCCAAGGGCTAAAAAAAAGAGAGTGCCGGAGACAAAAGGGAGTGCGAAAATCACTTCCCTTTCCGAAACTACAGGCTAGGATTTAACTTCACAAGCTTTAACATAACTTCGGAACGAAATTCTAATCATTTTCATCCAAACATTAAAAGTACTGGCTTTAATCTTTTATACTCACTTTCACTAAAAGAAAACAGAAAAACGTTATCTTTAATTTAAGCATAGGCTATATGAAAAAAAAAAAAACCCCAGAAAATGAAACAAAATTACCTTCAACCCTGCTAACAACACCTTTAAGATTGCCACCTCCACCTGCATTAATCCATACATAATACAAAACATATCCAAATTAATTATACATTAAGCAAACGCGAATCTATATCTTATAAAAATCAAAACTTTAAGAAAGCAAAACGCTTCTTACCTCTGCCGCTGTATGAATACGCAAGAAGAAGCAATGCTCCCTGAAAATTTAATCATTTGCTTTAATCCCATTATTCTAATTAACCAAGCATTAACTTTTAAACCAAAAAAATTAAGGGAAATGACAAATGAGTGTTAATTAATCACCACGGCAACGAGGGCGACCAATAAGATCGGAGAAGACTTGGATTTGGAATAGGAAGAACCTGCGAACAGAGCTCCGCCGTTGTCCCCGAACCGTCGAGACGTGTCCAAATTCAGAGTCACCGGCCTCCGTGACATGGCTGTTGGACGAAAATATGACTTGCTGGAAAATGGTAATTAATTAGCGAGCAAAATAATTAATGAATTGATAATTTGTTTAATTATTAATTAATTAATTAATTAATACTGAATTACCGGAAGAAGAGGCGCTAAAGAACCGACATTGGATCGGATTTGTCTGGTGCTGACTGAGACTGGAGGTTCTGCGTTCTGGCTGGGAGTTGAAGACGACGGTTCGTTTTTCTTTTTGGTACGAATCACTAACGGTCTGGATCGACGAAGAAAATTAGTTTGGGCCTGATGGGCTCATGAGCCAAACGGCCCATCAGCCACATTTTATGACAGAATTGCTTAAACTTTTCATTTTTTTTCTTACTAATAACCAGTTGGGCCTATTGAGCCATCATCATACGGCCCACCAATTGATAGGCCCATGTCATCAAAGATTGGAGATCGGGTTCCCTGAATCAGGTGTCCGGTGTCCCTCCGTCTCCAGCTCCATTTCCATTGAGAATCGAGACAGAGTCGTATTCAAAGGCGGTGTAAAGGCAATACAATTCGTGAAAAGTCCAATCTTTCTGCTTTTGAAGAGCAAAAAAGAAGGGGAAAAAACCCCAACCATGGTTGCTGGGTTTCCTGAGCATTTACAGTCTGCGAAGAGTGAGGATTGCTGAATTAGATACCCAAAGTTCGAGAATTTCTGGAAAATGGGCGGCGGCGACGACGACGGTGATCGGAGTAGGAATAGGAATGGGCCGTGGACGCCGCCGGGAAGACCGTATGAGGCAAAAGAGGAAGACATCAAGATTTGGGGGATTCTGGTGTTTGGTCTAATTGGCGCCACCGCCACCACTCTCGCCGTAAGTTCACATCTCTTCATTCCTATATTTTTCTTTCGGTTCGAATGCGAGTCCAATCTGCAGCATTAATGGCGGAGAGGAATTGAGAATTGAAAATTGTGTGGGAATTTGGCAGGTTTCTCAGCTCCGTAGGACTGTTGATTGGGTGTATACACAGGTAGATATCATATGAGTAATGGGTTTACCGTCGATTTTAATAAATTCGAAACCTTTTCGTTACTTGAGAACCGAAAATTCAAAGCTTGAAATGGAGAAGAGAACGTAGTTAATGTAGATGCAAGTCCTCTTTGAAAGTGATACTTTTCGTTTCGTTGTAGAAATTAATGTGTGGGTACGTTAGTAGTACTTGGGGCTGACCATGTCTGTGATTGCATGAAAAAGTTGTTCAGATCACCGTCGACGGGGAGAGGAAGTGGCAGTTCATTCCGGACATCTTTTCAGGAGGAAGCATGGAAAAGATATAACCGTCGGATGCAAGAGGAGTATGAAGAAGAAATGGAGAGAGTGGTGAGTTATAGCTCTTGTATGTTGTTTTTCGATTTTCTTTTCAGCATCTTTTGATTAGTTAGCACGCGTGATTGTAAGAAACCTGATTAAAAAATTGTGGCTCTAATCTAGTATTTTAACTCTGAGAGTGCATTTTTCTGGCCACTTACTATAACTGCAGTTTTGCCTAGTCGTCACTTGCTTCACAAAAACATTCTCAGGCTCTCAGCTCTGAATTTGATATTTTCAATTCCAATTTTAGAGTTCTTAGTGACATTACGAAGTTGACTTGAATCGAGATTTTCATCATGATTTTCTGTCTTATGTAGGAACGTATTAGGCGTATGCAAAATGTTTTCAATAGAGAGAGGAACAAACACAAAAGGACCTACGAGAGCTGGAGGGAAAACAGTCAAGGTGGATATCATCAACAATTCCAGCGAGAGGATTGGTATTGGAAGACTGATACATCCTTTAAGGACCGGAGGAGTAACTTCAGGGAAACTCCTAGAGAAAATGCCAACTATTTGTTATCACATCACTACTCAGTTTTAGGCCTTGACAGGTAAAGCTAGTGTTTGCAGAAACCTAATCGCTTTATCGTAATCATTTCCTCACTTTTGTATTCTATTGAACTTCCTGTCAGCTGTAGTTTTAATAAAATAAATATGGTGAACTTGTTAATTCTATTGGAGGAAAGCAGTTGGATAGAAGAACAGAATTTTGATGGAACTTCTATGCTTTCATACTAATTTCCCTCTCTTCTTGTGGTATTTAACAATACGATAGACACAGTTTCGTTGATTGTAGCTAGCGGCTAGAAATAGTAGATTATCCATACCCATGTCCTGAATCTTTGTTGTTTGTTTTATAAATTTGAACTTCAGTACACAATTAGGTATCTTGTGTTGGTATAGCACATACTCAAATTTATGGAGTTTTGCAAATGTGTTACTAGGAGGCCAAACCTATCTATGTCAATGATATTTTTTAGATTCAAGCAAATTAAGCGAGAGTGAAGCAAGATGTGCGATGTTCTGAAACAGATAAAGTTTCACTTCATAAAATTGGATTAAATCCGTGATCTTCGTTCCTGTGTATCTTTTATTTTAAGATGTAATGTCCTGAAGATGAGGTCTGCTGGACATGCGTTTGCATGATAATTCAATCAGATCAATAACAAACAATAAACTTGAGATTTTCACTTCTCTTCTTTTTTCAACAGGTTTAGAAAGGCACCTTACTCGGATGCTGAGATTAAGGTATTTTTCCCCACGTTTTTGCGTACTGTTTATATGTAAAGTGCTTTCCCAAAAGAAAATGTGTTTGTCCCTCTTTCCCCTATTACTCCTACGACTATCTCTATGTTGACTAGTTTAGAGTGTGTTGGTTGTGTATCATGTTCTTTTATTGCTGCAGAAATGAGTGATTGACTTGCGACATTTTCTTGTAAATATAACATTTGTCTTTGGAATGACAACGGTGAAAATACGTGGGACTGGTGTATGGTAAAACATGGGATGGTTAGAACTATATGCTGTGTTAACAAAACCGTTTACCGAGTCATTTTTGCTTCTATCATGTTGTATTCTTGCATTGGCAATGGTAATAACTTGACTCTCGCAGACGGCATTTAGGACCAAGGCGAAGCAGTTTCACCCCGACCAGAACCAAAACAATAAAGGTGGGTATCATGGGCACATTACCGAATTCTAGTAAGCCGGTGACGTTGCTTTGCATTGAAGTTTGTTTTTTGAATTTTGATGCAGAGGCTGCTGAAGCAAAGTTTAAAGAGGTAATGACGTCGTACGAGGCAATAAAGAAAGAGAGGGGGAACTAAACTGGCTGATACAGCTGAGATTTTGGCGAAGTTGAAGCACGCTAAGGTTGTGCGGTATTCAACTTGGCACTTCTACATTCCTTTGCAGTACATTAGTCAACAGATAAACGTAATCCCGAGTAGGTTAATCTTCGCCTTTCGAGATGGAATTTGAAAGTTTGTTTCTAATGTTGTATCATACGGGAATAATTCGCCATTTTTTTTTTTGTATACCGGCATAAAAAGCAAAGGGGCTATGTATTTGGGGAACATATTATGCATTCATACTATAGGGTTTTGTTGTAACATAATTTGATTTTAACAATTTTCACATTATCTAAGGTACTTCATGTCTCCAGTGGTTTACATTAAGCTGCCGTTATTTTGTGTCGTACTCACGTTCCTTATTGCCATTAGAAGTGTCGTTTATTTTTATGGATTTTTTTCTTGCGATACAAGCAATATCGAGGGAGGGAGAAGTCAAACTTGGGACCTCAGGTGCAAGAAATTATGCATGGATTTTGAATCTTCCATAATGTACTTGAAAAAAAAATAAAGGTATGAACACATAGAAAGAACGAGTCCTAAAAACAAAATATGCGGTTACTACAACAAATATTTCTGATTTTTTTGCATTCACCTTCCCCTCAACTGCAGATGAGGAATGGCCGGGAGCGGTACCCATCGGAAAATCCTCTCCCAACAGCGCTGTACCATCAGTTTACGCAATCTTCGGTCTTTTTCACCTGCTTCTCGCTTGAGACGGGTGCTCTGTAATATGCCGGAACTGTTGCGGGGAAAAACATTTGTCTCACTCCTTCCGCCTTGATTATGGGGAATATAATTCCTGAGGCACTCTGCAGTGGAGACAATCGTATAATCAGAAATCAATTACGAAGCATATCCCGGATAAGTCTATTACGGAGAAGGGGAAGAAACGGTTTATACATACAGAAATTAATCTGGCTCCAATCCAGGCGCGTTTAGGTGATGGAAATGGCAGCAACAGACGACCAACACCATACACTGCAACGGCAAAGAAATGGAGAACCAAACTCAAAGGGCGAGGGTTCAACCCCGAAAGCAGAGAGACTGGTCCCGTAGAGAATACACCTCCGAGACTTAGATAGTCAAAGCAAGCCTGGCGCATTTCCTTCCTTGCTTGATCAGGTGAAGAAGAAAAGACCTTGTAAAGGGCACCCGCCAATGTATTTATTGTGGATGCCACTGGCTGCAAAATTGGAAGATTATACAGACGGTAAGCCAAAGTTTAGATTACAATGAGACGCAAAAACGCAGAACATCCTGTTTTAAAACCCCAGAAAATTATTAAACTTTTTTACAACTTACCTTGCGAAGAGTGTAGAAGGATTCAAGATATTTGGACAGTGTAGATGGATCATTTAGGTTGCCCAAAGGCTTAAGAAGATTCCGCAGCACAACAATATCAGACAAGGCCACAGTCATTCCTCCGCCTGTCAGAGGGTGGCGCATGTTGAATGCATCCCCCATCAATAGAGCTCCAGGAGTAGGGTAGGGAGCGGCGGGCATGCTTCTGTTTGGCATTGTCCTTATGGTACCCTTATCCACTGCAGCTACGAAGGAATCATAAATTTGAGGGGGAATCTGCAATAAGAGAGCAGAGAAAACTTGAATCAAAATCCTGGATTTAACGAGTAAACAAAGTACAGAGAAAACGTATGTTAAATAACAACACTGCAGAACATAATATATGTACCTGAGGAGCCACCACAGTCTTCAAATACTTTGCCATTTCACCATTTGAAATGGAGGGAACTTTTTGTCCAGGTACATCAACCAGACAGCGAACCTCTGTGCTACTGATTTTATAGAACAAAATAGGAGAAGGGTCTGCTAATATAACATGTCCGTGATTAGCATGTGGAAGATTGCAATTCTCCAGAACCAAGCCAACAAAACAAGAAGGCACATCCACCTGCAGAACACAAAATTAATAAATAAGAAGTTGACGGGAGCTGCTAGACATTAACAAGAAAAGTTGAATGTTAATTCTGCTTCTAGTTATTTTGCAGACAAATATAATGATATCACAACCTTACTATCCAAACCTCACCTTAGGATCACAAAGAGAGCGACGCAAGTTGGAGAAACAGCCATCACAAACAATCGTAAGAGGTGCATATGCGGTCATCTCTTCGCCAGTTTTAGTCTTGTATTGCACACCTTTAATTGTTCCCTTTTCTTCAAGCAGCGAAGTAACCGTTCCTTGTTCTAATTGCACACTATAGAATATAAAGAAAAAAGAAAGTATAACTTCCGGTGAACAGAAATCTCCTAACATAGAAATGTATTGAACATTAGCACATGAAACTCGCCACCGAGTCAACAAGAAGAAACAAACACTATAAAAGAAACCAACATTTAATTTGTATCAAGTTATCAACCAAGGGAGAAAAGATGTACTTGGGAAGAGTTGCAGCCTTCTCCCTCATCCTCTGTATGAAACGGCCATTGTGAAAGCTCCTACCAGACACATCTGAGTGAAATTTCTCCAAGGGATAAGAGAGTCTAGTATTTTTCCCATCCTTGAAAAGAGCATATCCAAAAACCCGCTGGGCATCAATTTGCTCCACACAATCTGCAGTAAAAAATAATTCAAATTTTATTAACTAATGATTTCTTATGTAATACAAGGCGAACAGAAACTGGCTGGGTAACATATACATCTCCATGGTAAAAAAGTTCGAATGAGTTGACCTTCTAGTCCCAGCTCAATTAATTTAAGGTAGCCTCCAGGTTGTAGTAATTCACCAACAATTCGGTCTGGCTCTGTCAAGTCTCGTTCGATCACATGCACCCGACGTCCATCCTGCAGTTCGAAGTACCCTTATCAATTTCCAAAAGGAAAAGAATTGGCACTAGAATCTAAACAGGTGAAAGAAAAACAAGCCAAACCTAGGCCAAATGGCATCTCCCTTACGGCATCTTTGCTATATCTTTAAAAAGTTTTGACAATCTTTCAAGTAAGGATACAATATATAAAACTACATTAATGAAACCCTATTTGTCAACCAAAAGAAAGTGAAAAGACATCTTTATCTTCTATCACAACAAAAAAGTTAAGGACAGTGACTTAATTTACAAATAAAATTTTACTATTTTTCTTAAACCTCACCTACATATAAGTTTATCATCTCTAAAATTAAAAAATTTAAAAAAGAACAAAAAACAACCTCTCTCTCTCTCTCTCTCTCTCTCCTCCCTCCCTCCCTCCTCATGTCTCTCTCACTCTCTTCCTCTCTCCTTCAATTTTAACAACCAAAGTAAAAAATTTCGCACACTTGGTGTGTGAGCATATACTAGTTCTTTAAATAAAAAAAAGGTAAATCAAACAATATAAACAAGAAAAATTAACTGCAAAGTGCATGACATCTTAATTTCAATCCATGACCCACGATGTTAAGCTTGAATTCGGTCAGTAAGACAAATCTCGAAGCCCTTGTAATTACGCTAATTACAGGACCTGGAAATGTTAGCAAATGGATTATTGAGTCACCATTTTCTTCTTTGCTATCTCGCATTAGACTCTTCAAATGTAGGGAATCTACTTTTTTAGGTTTTGTTTTATTTGGAAACTGTAGGGAATCTACTTTTGTACAACTTCTGCTGAGTGGTTATACACCCATTCTGTCCTCTACGATGAAAAGTCCTAGATACTAGACAATTAAGGACTCAAAGTAAATTAAAATTAATCAAATAACTATTCAAAAAGTAATGTTTGAAACAATGACTACCCTAAACAAGAAATATCAAAGCTTGTGAAAAAATATATTCTTTAGGTTTATACCCTGAATAACAGGCATGATCCAATCAAATGTCATACTACTCATAGTATAGTTACTTCAAACGAGAAAATTGCTTGATCGGATGCATTTTAAATTAACCACCACTTGCAATTTTAACTTTAAATAAGAAAATCGCTCGATTGGATGCATTTTAAATTAACAAACTACTTACAATTTTACCAATGTAGCATAAAAAATCCACAAGCAATATGTGCATAACCTAACGTTTGAACATAACTATTTGAGTGATACAGTAACCTCATCAGAGACTCGAAAACCAGATCGAACACCGCATCTTCGTCCATAATTCAGCATGATTAAGAAACTCATTAAGCATGATTTTTGTTTGCTAAATCTAATGCTTGTTTAACAAGGTTATTAGAGTAATTCTACATAATGCTTCCATATGAATATGCATGCGTCCGTTGATGTCACTGTAGAATTAAACTATAATATATTAAATCAAAAAACCGAAATAAACTTTTCTGGAGCGTTAATTTTTTTTTGTTTTCCCTTACCAATTCAGGCAAATTCAAACGCGTGCTTGGCAATCACAATTCCACATTGATTTAAATAACCACAAAAATTAAAGCAAAATGTGTTTGTTTCCAGAGAAAATGGAAGCAAAATTGTGTTTATTGTTTGTTTCCCGAGAAAATGCAAGCAAACCAGAGATGCAACTCAATCGAAGCATTTTCAATTTCGCTCACCTTGCCAAGAGTGTGAGCGAGAGCGGCGCCGGCGACACCGGCACCGACGATGATGACGTCGACGTCGCCGTCAGTGGATCTGCATTCTCCGTTGGAGACCATCACGCTCTTCACGCACTCGCTCCTATTCTCCTCCTCCACCAAACCTCTCCCTTTCTCGTCGCTCCTCTTCGCCAGCGCTCTGTACAGAAACACGGCGCCCAGCACGGTGGCGAAGATCCATCCGACCAAGTACTGATCCGCCATTCCTCCGAAACAACGACGCTTCTCCCTCCCTCTATTTCTCTCTGTGCGTGTGCGCGGCCTTTTATGGATGCCGCGGGCTCACACACACAGTCTCGCTCTCTCTCTGGTTTTCTGGAATATTCGGCACTCTGCGCTGGCGAATTGCCCTTTGAGTTTTTGTAACCGTTTGTTTCGGTTTGTTACAAGTTTTACAACGGAGCCACGAGATGTCGTGTCCAACGTTTAACAGGGCCTCGCCCTACCCACAGCTCACCCCCACCACGACGTAGGCATACAGCTGTGCTGCTGATGCGAAATACGATGCGTTTTGTTGGATTCTATTATAGCCTGCTGCGCCACGGGCCACGTGAGTGTGTTTCGGCTTTAACTGCGCGGATTGGGACCCTTAATGTTTGGAGTACGATTTCTTTCTTTCCTTCTCCTCTTACCAGACAAGTATACCACCGTCGGATCAGGAAATAGCTACTCTAACCCGTATCACATTGTTGATCTTAAAAATTACAAAACTTACGTGGCGCGCAGACCGAGTAACTAATAAGCTAACTACGTCATTCGATTGAATGTGGGACGT